GTGTGTGTGTGAGTGAGTGAGTGTGTGTGTGCGTGCGTGCGTGCGTGAGTGTGTGAGTGAGTGAGTGAGTGAGTGTGCGTGTGTGCGCGTGTGTGCGTGTGTGTGTGCTTTACCCAGGCAGGCTGTTCTCTCTGGGTTGGTGGTGAAGCCGGTTTGGCAGTGGCACAGAAACGATCCCTCAGTGTTGATGCAGCGGCCGTCCTGACAAACTCCCTCCTGAACACACTCGTCCACATCTGGACACACACACACACACACACACACACACACACACACACACACACACAAAAACACACACACACGCACACAACGCATGAGATCATCCCACGCAGATGCTATCAGTAATGCTCAGTCTCACAACATTTGTGTTCTGTTCTGGACGATTCAGATTGAGCTGAATTCACAGGAAGACCAGATAACTGCGCATTAAGTCAAATTAGCCAAATTACTGAAAGTTGCTCTATGGTTTGCAAAAAAGTGTGCAAAAACACGTCTTTTATTTTCCACCTATTTCCACAATTAGTTTTCATGAGCATTTTACGCCCTCTCTCTGACCCTCTGAATCAAACAGGCTGATTTTTGCTGTACTGTGCCTTTAACATTTCAGTGTAAAATGCCTATGGAGGATTCTGAGTGCCATAATAAATACATTTTTGATTAAAAGTTTCTAATAAATAAAAAAATAAAAAAATAAATAAATACACATAAATGTCAGTAAATAAATAAATAATTAAAAATAAATAAATATATAAATAATAAATATTTAAATAAATTAAAAGTGTCCATAAAATGTAAATAAATAAATGACTAAATACTGTAAATGTCAATAAACAAATAATTAATATAAAATGTGTCAATAAATAAATGTCAAAAAATAAATATGCCATTAAAACAAATACATATATTTAAAATAAATAAATCATGAAATGTGTCAATAAAATAAATAGTTAAAAAAGCAAAAAAAAAGCAAGTCATATAGGTTTGGACTTGCATTTTTAATAATTACTGAAATAAAACGAAATATTTTTTTATGAAAGTATATGCACTTACAATATAAATTTCAATGACTAAATTATTCAATACTTATAAAGTTTTAATTTACAAGAGTTACGAGTATGAGGTGCAGATGTTTCCCTTTATCGCATTCTGCGCAATTATCCTGCATCTTGATTTGATCTCATCGGGTGTGTGGTGGACGTGTTGAAAGGAGACAGGTTTACTCCAGACGTTTGACTAATGCAGTTATGTGAACAGAATCATTCCGTCCAAGAATTAAGGAGCATTTCACATTCAAGAGAGAGAAACTACTCCCTAATGACAAGGTCCAAAGCTAAATCCGAGGTGGCTGAGAAAAACACCGGTCACGTTATAACGTACCCGACACGTTTTGGGGTCATACCTTGGCAGGACGTCCCATTAGCGGTGCTCTTGTAGCCCTGCGCGCAAACGCACTTATACGATCCGTCCGTGTTCACACACTCTCCGCTCGGGAAGCAGAAATCTCCTTCCAGACACTCGTTAATGTCTGAGCCAGACAGAAGTGTGTTAAAAACAAACTCACACATGATGAGAGAGTATAAAGCGGAGGATGGATGTAATATTTCTCTGACCTCGGCACTGGCGCCGCGGCCCGGCCGCTCTGTATCCCGGAGAGCAGTCGCAGCGGTACGAGCCGTCTGTGTTCACGCACACGCTCTGCGGCCCACACAGGTGAGGACTTGCACATTCATCAATGTCTGAGGGGAAAACAACCAGCACGGGTTAGCAGGGACAATGCTGAGCCATAGATCTAATAAGTGTCTGACAACATGAACTGGGTTTGGTCTGCCATGATGCATATCATATCACTTTATCTTCTGCCTTGTCGCTTCCTTATGATGTCAGTCAAGCGCTTTGCACCAAAAATAGTCATGATTAAGTTTTCATGAGCATTGTATACCTTCTCTCTGTCCCTTTGAATCAAACAGGCTGATTTATGCTGTACTGTGCCTTTAAGATATCAGTGTATAAAACGCTTGTGGAGGATTTTGTGTGCCATAGTAATAAATAAATGTTTCATTGAAAGTGTCAATAAATAAATAAAATTAATAAATATGTTTGTAAATTAATAAATCAAGAAATGTGTCAATAAATAAATACATGCCATCAAATAAATCTTGAAATTTTTTCAGCAACATAAATAAATATATATTTAAAAAGAAATAAATCAATGATGAAATGTGTCAGAAACATAAATATAATGTTTAAAAAAAAAAAATTGTGTTTTTTATTATTCTTTTTTAAATATGTCTGTATTGCCTTAATTTATTTATTAGTTTTTATTACTTTAGTACTTCAAATTACACTAAGAGAGCATGAGAGATGGTGCCTTGGCAAGTAGCTGGGAAAAAAAAAAAAAAAATATATATATTTAATTTTCTTTTGTTTGATTTTAGGGATGTAACGATTAACCGCGAGCCAGTTGAAAATCGATTTAAATATGTGACGAATAGATATTCAATTAGAGGTAGGAGTTTATATGAATGTATGTCTGAGGGGAACTTACTGTCTTTAGAAAAGTTTAGATGGTATTTTTTCTTTTCATCTTGCCTC